AGCGTGCTGAATTAAGTCTAGAATGGAGTGATATAGCTCTCATATATAGTTTCGTCCAATTTAATGTAAATGGTGTTGTAATGTTTTTTTTTTCTCAAATATTACGATTTCGTGAATTTAGTTATTTGCTTAGTTTCTGAATCACGAAAAAATCGATTACACTCCATAGTTATATATATAATTTAGTAATTTGTATCTTATGTAAGTTTTATGTTATACTATCACCAGCTTCAGTTCCGGTTTCATTTCCTCGAACTCTCTTTTACTCGGTATAAGTCACTTTCTAACACACATACATACATATATCCACACACTCTGTTTTAATTCATTTAGATTGGTTTACTTTCTATAAAAGGGATATGCATATGTGTTTGTGAGTGTGATAGTGGTAGTGGTAATGTTGGCTTGTGGCATTTATGGGAAGATGTTTGTGTGTGTGTGAGTGCGATAAATTCAATGGTTTTTTTATGTTTATCTTGCCAATGAAAATGAAACATAAAATATATATAAAACTAGCACGAAACACATATGTTTATATGGTTATGTGTATATAAAGGTGATTTACTGAGGGGTTATATCGTTACACCTTTTTACATTAGTCGCCCGATATTCCTTTTTGTAAATCTACGAAGTAATAATGTTAAATCTCGTAAAGTATACTCACGTTTGGCGTTGAAGTCCGTGTACGTTTGTCTTCTGTAGTAATATCACCGCAACTACAGAAGGGAATACCATCCCAACGTTCCATGATTGTTTTCCAAAAAAAAAAAAAATAATAATTATAATTATAATAAATAAATATTAAATATAATAAAACATTTTATTGTTCACCAAAATTGTAGTTATGTTTCCCAGTTAAATGTTTGCAATAATTGTTGGTCTAATGATTTTCAAATGCTGATATGTGGTTCTGTACCACACAATCATGTTACAATTTTTTAAACATTGACCACTGAATCAAAACGAAAAACCACAACACGCAACTAAAACCAATATACTTCCTCTGCAAAGAAAAACTACACACACACAATAATTCTCCGGAAAGAGAATTTCATAGAGTTTTAGTTTTGTTTGTTTGTTTTCAAATGTCAGTACCAGCAAACAAACAAATACTCCATTTGCTGGATACAATGGAATGTACATGGAACGGTCAAGTCTTTGATACCAAAGAAGGTATAATATCTATCCTACAGTGGTTGTTATAGCATCATTTATGCTCAATGGTGATGATGTTCCTGCTGCCACTACTAACCAATGCTGATGATGATGGCTCAATTGTGTATTAGTTTTTTTTTTTTTTTTTTTTGGTTAAATTTCTTTGGGCGATTTTTTGGAATTTTGTGTGATTGCTTTGTTCTAAATTAAGTTTTCAATTTTTCTTACGTTCTGGTTCTTTGAAACTATTTTAAAATGCAATTGAATGGGCATTATGATGATTGGCTTGCTATGATATGATTCCTTCAATGCTATTGTTTGCTCTGTGATAGATTTGGAAAATTTTCTGGGATTCCATGTATTCCTGATTATCATGTACAATGATTAGGTTACAATATGGAACTAACTCTTTTGAATTTATTTTTGGTGAATTTGAAAAACAATTAACAGCCTGTTTTTGTAAAATTCTAAACGAACGAATTCGAGTGACTTACGACCAAACTCCTTGGTTTTTAAAAAATATGTCATTTATTTTTGTTTTGAATCAAGAAAAATTTTTGTACATAAATAAAGTTTTGGTAGTAATTCGTTCGAATCGTTTCGTTTCGAATTTTACAAAAACAGGCTGTAAGTAGTTGAGGAATGAAGAAAACTTTTCAAAAAATGAATTAAAATACAATTTGGCGAAGATTTAAAGAAATATTTTTAAAAGAACAATCAATACGTAAATATAATTTAAATACTGGATTATGATTGCCTAGAAATAACGGCAAATGCTCAATATTGCCCTACGATTCGGAGTAGCGCCCTTATGACGATTTCCCCATTATTCAGTATTTTGAGGATTTTGGGCACGCTGTCAACCGAACTGACTAAAATTTAATATTTCTAATTAGGTGGAAAATAATTAAGTTGCCTACAATTATACCTCCCAAATGTAGATTTTCTTTAAGTAGTATAGGCCCTTATTCAAAGTTTAATTATTGGCTAAAGTTTTGGGGTAGCGTTCATATAACGGTCTCTAACTATTAGGTATGATTGGGATTTTAAACACATTTTCAATCAAATTTTATGTAATTGTAAATCTTTTGTTCTCATCCTTCGTATAAAACTTAAAGTTTTTTATACCCTTAATTTTCGTTATTTGAAATGTGTCCATTTAATATGTATGCGCATTTTCCAACCGAATTGACTCCATTCTAGCATTACGAAGTGACTGTGATCAAGTTTGTAGATGGGCAATATCGTTCCACTCCTTCTGGTACCATCCCCTCATAGAGTCAAATTTTTCAAATTTGTTAATTAGACATCAACCGTGTAGAATTTCTGCTTTGATCTAAACATTCTAATATTTTAGCCAAGGGTCGACATTTTTTGATATACATAATTTCATTAGAGTATAAATATTTTTTTAAAGGCCTTCAAAATTAATGTGTGTGATTTGCTTCAAACATTGCAGAAGGAGTGGACTAATGGGTCCCATCTGCGTACTTGATCTAAGTTTGGTAAAGGTAAATGGTTTGCTTCAAATCGGGCATTTCATTCGCCCAATATTGAATTTTGTAAATATTGAAATTTTGAACCTTTGTTAGGGAAGTCCCACAAGAAGTGGGCCGAAGGATCCCATCTTCGGACATGATCTAGGCTTGGTAAAGATTATAGGTTGTACAAGGTTTGGTTAAAATCGGATAGTCCGTTCGCATGATATTATAGAATTAATTTTTTTGCACAATTTTGACCATTTTGTGGGGTAGTTACTAGAAGGAGTGGACCGGTTTTCTTCATCTTCGAACTTAAACGAAGTTTGAAAAAAATATTATAATGTGTATAGTTTGGATGAAACCGGTTACTCCCTTCTAGAGTTATCGTGCTTACCAGCTAGCTAGAATGACAGACAGACATTTGTAAATTCTAATTCTAAAACCAATAATTCTATGAAGCACATTTTTGCTTTACCATTATCATTGTTTTTAGATATCCATGATAAATTGAATGATTTTTTAAAGGGTTGATTTTTATAAAATGCTTGCCCAAATACGTCAATTTTTCATACAAATATTGACATTCAATTTTTTATAAATTTCAGAATGGCATGTGTATGTGTTGTTTTAATATAGTTCAAATATCTATGTCTTCACACGGTTAATTTCGTCTGGTTCCATTTCAATGTTACCCCAAAGATGCTTTGTCTATTCTTGTACGTACTCAAAGTGGTGAAGAGTATCATATAGTCAACCCGTCCGACTTTTGAACTCTCCTTACTGGTTTAAAAACAATTTTTTGGAGGACCTTTTTTTAGGTGATTTATATTTAAGGTGATTTTTTAAAAATATTTTTTTTTGATATTTTGATTTTTGTCGATTTTTTCATCAATTCGTAGTTATTAAAAAAAAATATATATTGTTTGGAAGACCATCAAATGATTAATTTTTCTATCAAAGCGAAGATTTTTTGAAAATATTTGTTATTGAATATCAAAGCGTAGAATTGTAGAAATATTTTGAGTACTATCCGAGTGCAAATATTTTAAAACTTGCAGTTTAAAAAATTATTATTTTTACTAGCAATCGTATTGAGGGACTATCAATGTACATATTTCTCAAAATCTGTAAAGAATTTTTAATATTAATTTCCAGGAAGTCACAATTTATTACTTGAATCAATTTATTTTTATTTTTCTTGTTAAATTTTTCCCCGAAGTACATTCCTTGAAAATTAATTTTCTTTTTAAAATGAAATGTTATCTTTTTCTCTAAAACCCCCTCCTGTGAAATTTCTTTAAAATGTCCTCGATTGTTATCTTATAAATGGGTGCGAAGCTCTTTTATTTATTTCGTCCTTTTTTAAAAAACTCAATTTTCTACCAAAACATAAAAGCATAAAGCAAATGCCACATAATATGACACTCTATTTGTAAGGATGTTACAAATTTTCTTTATTTGAAGTTGGTTCGTTTTTATTTCTCCCTGGTCAGTATAATCCTTTTTATTTTTTTCTTCTCATTTTATTTCCTTTCAGCAAAGATATGGCAATTTATTTTTACTTTCTATGAAATCCATTTTAATGCCAAAACATTTTTTGTTGTGATTCTATTCTATTTTTTTTTCTTTTTGTTTGTAATGTATTTAGAAAAAGTAAATGTAGAGATTTTTGTTGTTTTTTTTTTTTGGTGACAAAAAAGATTTTCTGTTTTCTTACATCCTGATTTTTGTAGGGATATATTTTTAATACAGTAATGTGAAACAATATATCCTTTAAGTAAGGGGAAAATAAAAAAGGAGTAGCCGAATTAAAAAGTATTTAATTTAAAATACAAGCAGACTAAATATTGAGCCCATGTGGACCTCTTTCCGAATTTATTGTTTTTATTATCCCCACCATATCGAAAGAGCCATTTTCGTCAGCCTGTCTGTTGAAATCACCATAGAGAAATATTTTGTAAAAGAACTTTGAAATTTTACCCATAGATTGCTAAAACTCTACGGATGTTGGGTCTTGAAAATTTATATATCGTCCCAAGTTTTGGTACAGCGCCCTTGATAATAAAGACTCACAGTCTTTATAGTTCAAGGATTTGAAAATATCTTGGGTAGTGGATACGGTTCAAAATTTATATATTTTTTTAAATATAAAAAGCATCCTGTCACATTTTACCACCACACCATTATCCTTCATATTTTCCTGCACACAATGCCAAAATTCTGATCTGATTATTCGTATCATTCTTGTTTTCTATTACACCAAACATACTTTTTCAATTTCCTTTTTTTTAGTCTATTGTTGTTACAACTTTTCTGATTTTAAAATTCTCTCTCTCATTCTCTATTTCTCTGTTCTATTTTTAGAAAAATATCTGCACATGAATTTGAACGTGGCGGTCTGTTAAAACCTATCGTCAATACTATCGATGGCACTCCCACCTTCCTGAGTATAGGGACAACAAATGATTGTTCCATGGCCACAACATCTGGCACGAGTACAAATAACAGTAACGGCAGTATGGGTAACAACAGCTTACTGTCATCGAGTGGTGGTAATGCAAGCGGTTCGGCGGGTGGCAATGGCCTTGGTAGCGGTGGATGTTCCAGTGGCGTGGGCCAAAATAATTCTGGCCATAATAATCATTATTATCCGCAGACGGGACATCATCATCACCATCATAATCATTATCGACCGCAGCGGCTGTCCCGCAATGAACTGAAACAGTTGGACGAGAAGGAGTTAATATTTGAACTGGTAAGGTATTGTCTAATAAGATGGAAACAATTGAGGGAAGAGGGGATATTTTTTTAAAGGATTATCAAGATTTTTAAAAATAATTTTTTGGAAGGACTAGCAAGGCGTAGATTTTTAAAAAGAATTTTTAAAAAGAATTTTTTGGAAGGACTAGCAAGGCGTAGATTTTTAAAAATAATTTTTTGGAAGGACTAGCAAGGCGTAGATTTTTAAAAAGAATTTTTTGGAAGGACTAGCAAGGCGTAGGTTTTTAAAAAGATTTTTTTGGAAGGACTAGCAAGGCGTAGATTTTTAAAAAGAATTTTTTGGAAGGACTAGCAAGGCGTAGATTTTTAAAAATAATTTTTTGGAAAGGACTAACAAGGCGTAGATTTTTAAAAATAATTTTTTGGAAGGACTAGCAAGGCGTAGATTTTTAAAAAGAATTTTTTGGAAGGACTAGCAAGGCGTAGATTTCAAAAGAATTTTTTGGAAGGACTAGCAAGGCGTAGATTTCAAAAGAATTTTTTGGAAGGACTAGCAAGGCGTAGATTTTTAAAAAGAATTTTATGGAAGGACTAGCATGGCGTAGATTTTTAAAAGAATTTTTTGGAGGGACTAGCAAGGCGTAGATTTTTAAAAAGAATTTTTTGGAAGGACTAGCATGGCGTAGATTTTTAAAAAGAATTTTTTGGAGGGACTAGCAAGGCGTAGATTTTTAAAAAGAATTTTTTGGAAGGACTAGCATGGCGTAGATTTTTAAAAAGAATTTTTTGGAGGGACTAGCATGGCGTAGATTTTTAAAAAGAATTTTTTGGAGGGACTAGCAAGGCGTAGATTTTTAAAAAGAATTTTTTGGAAGGACTAGCAAGGCTATATAGATCCCATATATATTTTCGTCCGACTTAAGGTAAATGGGGCACCAATGTCGGCTACATATCTTTCGATTTGCACAACATTTTGCAAAGGGTACTGAATTAGGTCCAGAATGATGTGTGCTAAGTTTCGTGAAAATCGGTTTAGATTTGGATATAGCTTCCGTATATAGTTTCGTCCGATTTTATGTGAATGGTGCACCAAAGTCCCTATATATCATTCGATTTGCACAAAATTTAGCATAACGTTCTGAATTGAGCCTGCAGTGATGTGTACCAAGTTTCGTGGAAATCGCTTCAGATTTAGATATAGAACCCATATATTTTCGTCCGATTTAATGTAAATGGAGCAACAAAGTCCCTATGGATCTTTTGATTTGCACGAAATTGTGCATAGCGTACTGAATTGAGCCTATAGGGATGTGTGCCAAGTTTCGTGAAAATCGGTTCAGATTTAGATGTAGATTCCATATATATTTTCGTCCGATTTTAGGTAAACGGTGCACCAAAGCCACAAAAAATCTTTTGATTGGCAAGAATTTTGGCATAGCGTACTGAATTGAGTCTAGAATGATGTGTGCTAAGTTTCGTGAAAATCGGTCCAGATATAGATATAGCTCGCAAATATATATTTTCGTCCGATTTAATGTAAATGGTATACCAAAGTCCATATATATCTTTCGATTTGCACGAAATTTTGCATAGCCTACTGAATTAGGTCTAGAATGATGCGTGCTAAGTTTCCTGAAAATCGATGCAGATTTAGATATATCTCCCATATATATTTTCGTCCGATTTAATGTAAATGGTGCACCAAAGTCCCTATATATCTTCCGATTTGCACCAATTTTGGCATAGCTTTTTGAATTAAATTTAGAATGACGTATGATAAGTTTCCTGAAAATCGGTTCAGATTTAGATATAGCTCCCATATAAAGTATCGCCTTATTTTAGGTAAATGGTGCACAAAAGTCCCTGAAAATCATTCGAATTGCACGAATTTTGGCATAGCGTACTTAATTAAGCCTAGAATGATGTGTGCTAAGTTTCATGAAAATCGGTTCAGATTTATATATATATAGTTTCGTCCGATTTAAGGTAATTGGTGCACCAAAGTCCCTATATATCTCTCGATTTGCACGGATTTTGGTATAGCTTACTGACCTAAGTCTAGAATGATGTGTACACCTCCTCCTGTTGCACTAAAGATCCATAGCTAGTCCGTTTGACACAACGTACTGAAGTTAATATAAATTAATCTCTGCCCAGATTCCTTAAAATCGGTTCAGATATAGAATAGCCGCCATATATAATTAAGACTTATTCATGTTAATTGTACACTAAATAATCAATGGGTGTCTGATTTAGATTAAATTTTAAACAGAGCAGCATACCGAATAGCATCTGGCATGTTTGCTTTAAATCGATTTAAAAAATGTATCATAGGTTGCAGAATGACATGTATAGGGATTGGTGTTAGTCGGTTTAGATATAGATAAAAATTACATATTTAAGTTCGTTCAATTTCATGTCAAAATTCCTTCAAAAAGGCGACGTCTTTTAGGATACATATGTAGAATATACCCAATGTGGTGAAGGGTATTATATAGTCGGCCCAGTCCGACTTTACTACTTTCTTTACTGGTTTTAACATCCTTTTGTCATCATTTGTTCGCATATGACCTTCCTTTCTGTCTCCAATACCACTGACGTATACGTAACATAATAAATCACTTAATTAACATCAATCATACGCACCATTGCATCAGTTTATCATAATTAATGCTCTGCGTCGTATTATAGGAAAAAAAGAACAATAGCAATTATTCTGTAATTATTGTCTATAAAATACATTAATTATATGGATGTATACTATAACACAATACATACACACATACGTATTGTCATGGTATCAGTTAATAATATCACTGTTGTTATTTTCTTCTTTTTCTTTGCATTTCCTCCACCACCAACTCTCGCGCTGAATGAATGGATGTTTTTCTGGATATTTCTGATATTCCTTGGAATATATGCGTATTTCCTATGGTCATACATACATCGATGCCATTACAACTACAACCAAACAACTGGACAATATCCTTCATGTACTCACACACACACTCCCACATGTATATATCTGACGATGTCAATGCTAATGATGCTGTCATTTTATTTACAACGAACAATGGTGGAAAATAATGTCCATACTCTTTATTTCTCATTCTCTTGGAAACCTCGACAACATGCTACAACAAAAACAACTTTTACAACAACATCACTGCACATGATTGTGTGGATAATGTCCATTGATGCGTTCCAAATGGTGTCATTTGATGTCTTTGGCCAACGACAATTGTTCTCGTAATGTTGTTTGCTGGTCATTGTCGTACAACAACGATATGTCTGATGTTATGTTCGCCCTCACCCCCACTTCACCCATTTGTAGGTAAAGGACATCTGCAATGAATTGGAAGTTCGCAGCTTATGCCATAAGATTCTGCAAAATGTCTCAATATTGCTGAATGCCGATCGGGGTTCATTGTTTTTGGTACAAGGTCGTTGCAGTGGCAGTGCCGATGGTCCCAAGAAGTAAGTACACAAACATTTATACATATTTATATAGAACATTTACGAAAACATAAAATGCCAGTATGCCGTCTGTATGTTTATAAATAATATACTTAATGTGACAGCTTCGATTTTATTGACTATGATATGTGATAGTAGTCACCATTGGTAGCACATTGACTTTTTGGTAATGGTTTTGTACGTTAACTTATTTTATTCTACTATTAAATTTGGTATATTTATAACAAATATGAACCTCACTTTTATGGTTCGATTGTTTTTAATGCAAGAGTTTTGGTTATAGTAGATCAAATCGAAAATAACTTTTCTGGGACATAATTAGTCGAATTTTGACTATTAAGTTTAATAACCTCTCGAAGCTGTTCTAAATCAATATTATCTTTATAAATTAAATAAGTAAAGTAAAAATGTTGTTAAGTAAGGCCGGGCCGAACTATTTATTTCCTTAACCATTATGTGGACATCAAAATACCTAATACCCGCCATGGTAAATCCCTACCAGGAGAATACTTTTGGCGGGATAGAGAAAACCCCCAGAATATCGTCCTGTTGTGTCTGTCAGAACAGCATTCATCACAGACCCTCTCGGTAATATTCAGTGGATGTATTGTTGTTCTAAATTAACCCGGATACAGGACTACTGCGTGTCTCCCAGTCATCGTCGTCGTTGAAATAAACCCCCACAGTTTCGCCAACGGCAATATACACATCACTTAACACCACATATTGCTCTTTAACGCCTCGACAATACATCGTTTTTGCTATTTAACTGTGAGGGTTTTCGCAACAAGATCAGCGAAATTGTGGAGTTTATGAGTCGAAGATGTATTATGGTCGCTGCGATCCAGAAACCAATCTATACGAGAATTTTAGTTTACAGCGTTGCGATAGTTACATCGTTGGGCGGAAGAATCGTACAAGAAGCGAAGGCTTCTTGTACGAAGCATTCGTATTTCACAACTCAGTCCAGTACGGACTTATCTCGCTTGACCTAGACTCTAGTGAGCCACATATATATTGAGACACATAGTGAGACACATAATGCAACTGTACACCTCGTAATTTACTAGATTTTAGTCCACTGAGTAATTACCACATGGTACTGGGGGTTTCAATAACCATCATGAGTCATGTAGCATAAGGCCAGAGGGGTGCAGCGAGCAAATTGATATCATCAAATTGTTCGGACAGCATTAATTGCACGGTGAGTAAGGATGCCTCCAAAATAATAAGACAGATTATCAAGGTTCGTCAGATTTCACCATAATGGTCCCAGGTCTGACTAATCGTCGTATCAGACCACCTCCCTATTATCTCCGTTAATATACCACTTCACATATCTGAACGCCATACTTTCCTAAACCATAGGAATTGTCAAGATTTCAGACAGGAGGAATTTTTGAAAATCGTCATCGTTCCACTACCATTGCCATTTGCAATCGGCCGGTCAGATAATCACATAACCATGTGTCCCTAGTTTAGTGTGCGGATGTAAGCAATACGCAAAAGAAGAATATACAGATCTGCCAGAATGCCGTACTGAGAAAATGAACCATTGTCAATAGAAGCCTGAGTAGCATTCATACACATGCAGCCGCCGAGGCAGTAGAACAATACCGTATAAATGCTATATGCGGAGACAATCCACCATCCATTGCAGTAGATGAGAAGCAGAATAAAGTTACCAGTATTCTAAGCACTGCTAAGATCAGAATGATGCAACATCATCATAATTTGGCATGTTTAGTAGTGGACTAGGACCACATGAGCCATTGCATTTTTGGTCAACTGGTCAGTAAAACCCACTCACCTGTCCGCGAATTATCCATGGAAACATCCTATACATGTCCCATATTTCTTGAATTTGAATACAACACATAATAAATTCGATTTCATATCTTCAAATCCTACCTAACACATGTCCAGTATGTGGACTAGGACCACATGAGCCGTTGCATTTTTTCAACTGGTCAGCTAAGCCCACTCACCTGCCTACAAATTCTCCGTAGAAGCATCCTATACAGGTCCCAGCCTTGTTGAATTTGGATACAGAGGAGTCAGAATTGAACAACGCATAATTAATTTGATTTCATAACGATAAAATTATCCAATTCGGCCAAATCCACTCAATACCGAAAAAGATTTGACCCTAAAATTTGGACCAATATTGATAATTTTTGGTAGGAATATTTGTGCCACCATTTGAGAACCAAAAGGATCTGACCGAGGAATATACTTAGTAGTCAAATAAACCAAGACTTTTGTGTGAAAATGAAAAAATAGCTTTCTATGGTTTATATGTCTACCCCAGAAGAACAGAGATCGGATAAGTTGATTATCATATCCAAGAGTTGTGGTTGACCTTTACAAGGACGATGCCTTGACCATAATAATAATATAGATCCGCAGAAATTTATAGCTCAATGGTCGGCTCCGTCATACTATACTGTATGACTATAAATAATGTGGATTATACAATTTTATTATTGAGGGCCAACACAGGTTTGGACTTTTTAATGAATGTTTTTCATTGACCATTAAGAGTGGATTTTTTAATGATTAATTGTTCATGGACCACGATAAGAGTGGAATTGTTAAAAGAATATTTTTTATCGAAAAACCCAAACATAGTTTTTTCAATATTCACCCCTTTAATATTTTAAAGAATACTTTTCGAAGAGTGTTTTATAAGTCACAATTTAAACAAAACTAGTTTCCCAGTCATGTTTCTTTTTTTTAACAATAGGTTTTAAGTATCAATACTAGCCGAAATAATTTAAAGCGCCAAACAAAAATATTTTTCTTCTTAAAAATATTTTAAATTTTCTCATTCGAAGTTCTCCTCTATGGCTCTCATCCTGCCTGCATGCATACATGTGTGCCGGACATATTCTTAGCAAACATGGAAAACATGTTAGATCCATGTATTCTCATTAAGTAGGGAGAAACAACAATAAAACCAACTCAAAATAAAAAATGTGTGGATGTGGATGTACATATTCCCAATTGAAATCAAACAATATGTAGTCGAATCTCTAATATATTGGGTCATGTAGCTGCTGGTTCCCTCATTTGGAACAAATGAATGAAGACCAATGGTAATAAAAAATGAAAAAAAATCCAACAAACATCTACATTCATAACATGAAAAATTGTGTACGTGTGTTCGAGACAGACATGACTTTCTTTCTTGTTCATTGTTCAAATATTATGATCAACCTATCAAGAGAGAGATGTCTGTTTTAGAGTACATGAGTGCTTGTGTGTGTTCTGTATTCGAACGTGTGTAAAATGTTCCTTGGAGTCATATTATGATTTAACATTAAACATGACCAATATTGTTTTTTTTTCATTTTGTTATTAGCAGTCCCCAATAGCGTACATTAGTACGAAATGAAATCTCTGCAGCATTCATAAATTATGCAGGGGCAAATGTGGTGGTCGCTTCTTTGGTCAATAATTTATTGGCAGACAATAATACTTCTAATGGCTGGTATTTTATTAAACGAAGAAGTTGAATTAAATTTGCTGGTGGTGGTACGTGTTTGTGAATCTCTGTATAGCATCAATAAATCTTAACGTGACCAGTAGAAGAACAAGTGGCGATATTGAATGGCATATTTACATAGTCTTAATTTTTTTTAGTGAAAAATAAAAAGCAAAGGAATAATTTGAGATGAAATAAAATTTAACTAGATAGTTGAACCTATGATTTAATGCAATAAAAATTCAAATTCACTTTTATGGGAATTAGGCCTTGAAAAATATTCCTTAAAAAATCCACTCCTCTGATAGTCCTTAAAAATATTCTTTAAAAAAATCCACTCCTCTGATAGTCCTTAAAAATATTCTTTAAAAAATCCACGCCTCTGATAGTCCTTAAAAATATTCTTTAAAAAAATCCACTCCTCTGATAGTCCTTAAAAATATTCTTTAAAAAATCCACGCCTCTGATAGTCCTTAAAAATATTCTTTAAAAAAATCCACTCCTCTGATAGTCCTTAAAAATATTCTTTAAAAAATCCACGCCTCTGATAGTCCTTAAAAATATTCTTTAAAAAAATCCACTCCTCTGATAGTCCTTACAAATATTCTTTAAAAAATCCACGCCTCTGATAGTCCTTAAAAACATTCTTTAAAAAATCCACTCCTCTGATAGTCCTTAAAAATATTCTTTAAAAAATCCACTCCTCTGATAGTCCTTAAAAATATTCTTTAAAAAATCCACGCCTCTGATAGTCCTTAAAAATATTCTTTAAAAAATCCACGCCTCAGTTAGGCCTTGAAAAAATATTCTTTAAAAAATCCACGCCTCAGTTAGGCCTTGAAAAAATATTCTTTAAAAAATCCACGCCTCAGTTAGGCCTTGAAAAAATATTCTTTAAAAAATCCACGCCTCAGTTAGGCCTTGAAAAAATATTCTTTAAAAAATCCACGCCTCAGTTAGGCCTTGAAAAATATACTTTAAAAAATCCACGCCTCAGTTAGGCCTTGAAAAAATATTCTTTAAAAAATCCACGCCTCAGTTAGGCCTTGAAAAAATATTCTTTAAAAAATCCTCGCCTCAGTTAGGCCTTGAAAAAATATTCTTTAAAAAATCCACGCCTCAGTTAGGCCTTGAAAAAATATTCTTTAAAAAATCCACGCCTCAGTTAGGCCTTGAAAAAATCCACTACCCATTTATTCTATAAAAAATCCACGCCTCTTCTAGGCCTTGAAAAAATCCTCACCTGTACTTTGTCATTATAAAAATTATCTTTAAAAATCCAAGCCTTTGTTGGTTCTTGAAAAATATTCTATTTGAATATTGCAAAGATAAAAATAGCACATATTAAAAAAATTCAATTTAAGGCCACCAAAAGAAAGCTGATGCCAAAAAAATTATAAATCTTGATATTACTTTCCTCAAGTTCACTGCCAACTGGAACAAGAAATAAAAATGTAGAGAATATAAAAAAGTGGAATTGATGAGAAAATTCAAAATGTCAGCAACTCAATAACAGTTGCATTATGCAAATAGTATCACGAAACAAGGGAGGGAGAAGAATACCACTAGCACGTGAAAAAAAATTGTCATTGTTCTAATATAACTTTGACAATAAACGAAAAATTTCATCAGTTTTGGTAATTTCGGTGCTCATAAATATGGAGGGGTTCCTTGGGTGGATGGTAAAAAATTGACCCCCCTAAACCTCTTTCCTACACTCTTCTGAGTCATTCTATCCCCTAAAAATTGCACATCTCTGAAGCAAATTGAACTACCACCCGCCATGGGATTAATTTAGCTACGACAATGATATCTTCCACCATGATTTTGTGGTACAGCAGAATTGCAAAATTTGAAAAAAAAACACACACACAATTGTCTTCGCGTATAATTTTCTATTATTTTGGAAAAAAATAAATAAAATGAAAAAGTTAAATGAACATTAAATGAATGGGGAAGTTTTTTCTTTTGGTGGCTGATGGTAATATTCGAAATAAAAGCAAACTAATTTTTTGGGGGAAATAGTTTTCTTTTTCTTCACAGTTGTCATTATGACTTAGCAGAAAAGTGGAAATTAACTTGGCCCAAATATTGTACATTAAGTTAATAGAATAGTTTTATGGCTAGGAAAAAGAGACGGGGAAATGAACAAGAAAAGGCACGAAATTATAGTTTGGAATTTGTTGGTGTGAATACAAATTGGAGGGGGATTTACAAAGGCGTGGATTTATTAAAGAATATTTTTTTCATTGCCTCAACAAGGCGTGGATTTATTAAAGAATTTTTTTTTTTCATGGCCTCAACAAGGCGTGGATTTATTAAAGAATATTTTTTTCATTGCCTCAACAAGGCGTGGATTTATTAAAGAATTTTTTTTTTCATGGCCTCAACAAGGCGTGGATTTATTAAAGAATATTTTTTTCATTGCCTCAACAAGGCGTGGATTTATTAAAGAATTTGTTTTTCATGGCCTCAACAAGGCGTGGATTTATTAAAGAATATTTTTTTCATGGCCTCAACAAGGCGTGGATTTATTAAAGAATTTTTTTTTCATGGCCTCAACAAGGCGTGGATTTATTAAAGAATATTTTTTCAAGGCCTAGAAGAGGCGTGGGTATATTAAAGAATATTTTTTCAAGGCCTAGAAGAGGCGTGGGTATATTAAAGAATATTTTTTCAAGGCCTAGAAGAGGCGTGGGTTTATTAAAGAATATTTTTTCATGGCCTCAACAAGGCGTGGATTTATTAAAGAATATTTTTTTCATGGCCTCAACAAGGCGTGGATTTATTAAAGAATATTTTTTCAAGGCCTAGAAGAGGCGTGGGTATATTAAAGAATATTTTTTCAAGGCCTAGAAGAGGCGTGGGTTTATTAAAGAATATTTTTTCATGGCCTCAACAAGGCGTGGATTTATTAAAGAATATTTTTTAAGGAAATTTTTTCAAGGCCTAGAAGAGGCGTGGGTATATTAAAGAATATTTTTTCAAGGCCTAGAAGAGGCGTGGGTTTATTAAAGAATATTTTTTCATGGCCTCAACAAGGCGTGGATTTATTAAAGAATATTTTTTAAGGAAATTTTTTCAAGGCCTATTTTTTGTGTGGATTTTTTAAAGAATTGTTTTCAAGGTCTATTCGAGGTGTGGATTTTTTAAAGAAATTTTTTCAAGGCCTATTTGAGGTGTGGATTTTTTAAGAAAATTCTTTCAGGGCCTAATATTTTACGCAATTTATCTCAATACATAAAATATTTAATAAACTATATTTATTTCCACTCAACGTCTATAATTTATTAATGACTGCTCATTCAATTCAATATTGGGCCAGCTTATTAAATATTTATATAAAATTTATTTTCATTTTCCACGAAAAATGCTTATGGCATGAAAAACACTTTGGAACATAACAGCAGCATCACACAACCATTTATTTTTCTAAGCCAGTAGCGCAATAACAACATCAACAACTAACCGACTGCCTGCCTTAAATTCCGACCAATAAATTTTCATGTTTTAAACCGCAGGCTATGATGTTGTCAGCAAATAAAGGAAGGAAATGAAAGAAAAACTACTACCACTACTCGCATAGCACATACATCGAGAAAGAACATGAACATAATGTTCTACTTCTGGGTTTTAATTTTTTCTGCTTCTTCTTGTTCCTTATGTATGAATTCAGAAACGACTTTTGTTCTTAAGTGTCAAGGCCAGTCACGTGATTAATTAGCAAATGCTGGTATAGCAGTCTTCTGGGGTGTGAAAAGCTATGAAAACCGAGAGAGAGATATGTGAACATTAACAACAAAAATTATTATGCTGACATGGAAAACTGGAATCATGTGGGGAAACCATAAGATGGCTCAGGTGTGTCTGAATTTCTTCAAGAAATAATTTACAAATTCACGAACAATGCGTGGATTCAAATGCAACATAAAAGTTTTTCAAGGACCAAAACAAGCTGCGATTTTTTATAAAAAACAACTGAATTTACGACTCAAAATGCAGTTTTTGGGACAAAAATCGATTTTTTGGAATTGTGATTGAAAAGTTTGCCATACACTAGTCAATCTCACATATACACAAAGGGTTTATCGGCATGACGGCATGATTTATAGTGTATGGGGCCCTTAACACAGGCGGGGATTTTTAGAGAATATTTTTTCATGGCCCACAAGAGGCTGGATTTTTTAAAGAATATTTTTTTCATTTCGTATAAGAGGCGTGGATTTTTTAAAGAATATTTTTTCAAGGCCTAACTGAGGCGTGGATTTTTTAAAGAATATTTTTTCAAGGCCTAACTGAGGCGTGGATTTTTTAAAGAATATTTTTCAAGGCCTAACTAAGGGTGGACTTTTTAAAGAATATTTTTAGGCCTATATGAGGTGTGGACTTTTTAAAAAATATTTTTCAAGGCCTATATGAGGCGTGGATTTTTTAAAGAATATTTTTTCAAGGCCTATATGAGGCGTGGATTTTTTAAAGAATATTTTTTAAAGTCCTATATGAGGCGTGGATTTTTTAAAGAATATTTTTCAAGGCCTATATGAGGCGTGGATTTCTTATAGAATATTTTTTCAAGGTCTATATGAGGCGTGGATTTTTTAAAGAATTTTTTTTCAAGGCCTTTATGAGGCGGAGATTTTTCAAAGAATATTTTTTCAAGGCCTATATGAGGCGTGAATTTTTTAAATAATATTTTTTCAAGGCCTATATGAGGCGTGAATTTTTTAAAGAATATTTTTACAAGGTCTAAACGAGGCGTGGATTTTTTAAAGAATATTTTTTTCAAGACCTAAAGAATATTTTACCAATGCTTAGAAATGGCGTGGATTTCTTAAAGATTATTTTTTTCAATGTCTAGAAGAGGAGTGGATTTTTTTAAAGATTATTTTTTCAACACCCAGAATAGGCGTGGGTAATTTTAAGGGAATATTCATATTTCAATGCCTAGAAGAGGCGTGGATTATTTAAAGAATATTTTTTCAATACCCAGAAGAGTTTTTAAAGATTAATTTTTCAAGGCCTAGAAGAGGCGTGGATTATTTAAAGAATATTTTTTCAATACACAGAAGAGTTTTTAAAGATTTATTTTTCTAGGCCTAGAAGAGGCGTGGATTATTTAAAGAATATTTTTTCAAGACCCAGAAGAGTTTTTAAAGATTAATTTTCAAGGCCTTGATGAGGCGTGGATTATTTAGAAATGGTGTGGATTTTTAAACAATATTTTTCAAGGTCTAGAAGATGAGTGGATTTTTTAAAAAAAATATTTTTTCAAGGTCTACAAGAGGCGTTGATTTTTTAAAGCCCTGAAGAGGTGTAGATTTTTTAAAGAAAAAGGAGGGGATTTTTTTAAAGACCTAGAATAGGCGGGAATTTTTTTTAAGAATATTTTTGCAAGCCGTGGATTTTTTAAGGATATTTTTCAGGGATTATTAAGGATTTCTGATCGAAGCTCTAAGAATATGTTAATAACCTCTAATAAAATGTTTTGTATTTTGAATTATTTCCAGATGCTTGGTATCGAAACTGTTCGATGTTTGCCCGCGTAGCACCGTTGAAGAAATGGAACAACAGGATGAGGTACAAATTGCCTGGGGTACTGGCATTGCTGGTCATGTTGCTGAAAGTGGCGAACCTGTCAATATACCGGATGCGTATAAGGTGAGTCATTAAATCAATTCTACCGTCAAATTATTAAAAAAATGCTAATAATGAACTCTGTACAGGTGTGAGCACAAATTGTCCTTAGTGACATACTGTAGATTACGGCATGGAAACATAGCTGTGTGTGACCTTTGGCAAATCAATTTTTGTAATATCTCATTCCCAAGTGACCTCCTGTCAAATATTTCTGTGGGTATACCACATTAGCTTCCCTTAGAAGAAATATTCATTCACCAATACCTCTCTTCATTATATCCCCCACAATCTACTTAAACAGATCAATTGGGTGTCATATTCCAATTCATGGTGTCACGAAGTAGGAGGTGATACAGAAAAAAATCGAAATGTCTTGCTTTTGGAGAATAGAAATAAATCAAGCCAATAGAGCATCTATGTGTCACAAGAGCTCTATCCTATAGCAACATAAATAAATCAAATTCCCCAAAAACATAAATAATTATATATAAACATACACAGTTGTTGTTTGGTTGAAATGACTAAAAGAACATGATTCCTGTGAACAGAAAATATGTAGAGAATGAAGGAAATAGAATAAATCAACCAATGTTTATAAATCATTATTTGATTGTGGTCACAAACAGTGACATGTCCAAAACACAGTCAGACTCCGATGTCCTTGTCAACCATTAGCATTTATCCTTGGTCAAGTGAATGAGAGTTTATATATATCAACAGGACCAAAAAGAACACAGCAAAAAAAAAACTAACGACATTGGTTTGATGTGATTTCATTTAATGCTCCAAGGATAGTTTCATGCGAAATTCCGTAGATGGAAATGTTTTTGTTGTTGTGGGAACCAATAACAGCTTGGGGTTTTATGCAAAAATATTTTCAACAAGATTTTGGGGAAGGTGCGAAAACGAAGGTTAATTTGTCAAATTTTAAAATAACTGTTTCTGGGACTTAAAAGCGACAGCCGTTTTTTTATATTCATTTTTTATAGAAGTTAACAATGCGTAAATTTTATAAACAACATATTTTTTACCAGAAAGAAATGAGTAGATTTAAAAAATAGAAGTAGAATGTTTTAAAAATATTGCTTTTTAATGCAACACTGCGTAGATTTTATAAAAATTTTAACAAAGTCTACGCCTTGCTAGGCGTTCAAAAATCAGTAAGGATATATGATATATGATGAATCCTAACAGACGTCGCATTTTTAAAAGACCAGTACAATGAAATTGGATCCATAAACATGTCATTCTGCAACCGATACTAAATTTTTCATTTGATCAGATATAGAAGCTATATCTAAATCTGAACCGACTACAACGACTTCAGGAAATTTAACAAACATAATTCTAGACCTAATTCATTACGTTGTGCCAAATTTCGTGCAAACCTAAAGATATATAAGGACTTTGGTGGGCCATTTACATTAAATCGGACGAAAATATATATGGGAGCTATATCTAAATCTGAACCAATTTTCAGGAAACTTAACACACATCATTCTATACTTCATTCATTACGCTGTACCAAATTTCGTGCAAATCGAAAGATATATAGGGACTTTGGTTCACCATTTTCATAAAATCGGACGAAAGTATATACGGGAGCTATATCATCTAAATCTGAGCCGATTTTTACGAAACTTAGCACACATCATTCCAGACTCAATTCAGTACACTATGCAAAATTTCCCGCAAATTGAAATATATATATAGGGACTTTGGTGCACCATTTTTATAAAATCGGACGAAATTATATACGAGAGCTATATCTAAATCTGAACCGATTTTTACGAAACTTAGCACACTTCATTGTGGACCTACTTCAGTACCCTATGCCAAATGTCGTGGAAATCGATCGATGTTGGTGTCCCATTTACCTTAAATCGGACGAAACTATATATGGGAGCTATATCTAAATCTGAACCGATAGTCTATGCAAAATTTCGTGCAAATCGAAAGGTATATAGGGACTTCGCGGCACCATTTACATAAAATAGGACGAAGCTTTATACGGGAGCTATATCTAAATATGGACCGATTTTCACGAAACTTAGAACACATCATTCAAGACTCAATTCCGTACTCTATGCAAAATTTCGTGCAAATCGAAAGATATATAGCGACATTGGTGCACCATTTACATAAAATCGGACGAAAATATATATGGGAGCTACATATTTATCTGGCTACATATTTATCTTGGCACACATCATTCTCGACCTAATTCAGTATCCTATGCCAAATTTGGTGCAAATTGAAAGATATAAAGCGACATTGGTGCCCTATTTACCTTAAATCGGACGAAAAGATATAAATGGAGCTATATCTAATTCAGACCCGATTTTCTTCAATTTCAATAGGAATCGTCCTTGGGCCAAATAAGTGACTTGTGCCAAATTTCATCCAATTCGGATCATAAATGCGACCTGTACTTTGTTTACAATTTAACATGGACAGACAGACGGACGGACATGCGTAGATCGACTCAGAAAGTGATTCTATGCATATTCTCAAAAGGAACCATGTGTCTATCTCGTTTCCTTTTGCCTGTTACAAACATATGCACAAAGACATAATACCCTGTACCACAGTGTGGTGAAGGATGTAAAAACGACTTGGTAGTTCTTCTGAAAAATATTTAAAAACCAGTGAGCGGAGCAGTATAGTCGGACGGGACCGACCATATGATACCCTACACAACTTCCACGAAAATCCTACTTTCTGTGGTTCTATATTCTGAGCATGGACAATATTTCGCGATATTTACACCCTTCTGACCGATTAGAAGTCAGATTCCCTTCACCGTGGCTTGTGTTGTGATGTTCGGCTTAAAATTATGTTTTCGGTGCACTTGATCCCAATATTATTATCTGATCATCATCGAAAACCTTGACCAAACCTGGAACCTCACGGAACATTTTAAAGCGATCAGCGATATATTTTCGCCCTCTAGTGTGGTAATGGGTTACTAAATAATATTTGAATACTTAAGCATATTTAAGTGTAACTCCCGCATTCGAGTACCTACGACAATATAATTGGTATCAATTTAAAGGTCAACCACTCCAATTGGATACACTATCAACTTCTCGGGTCTATGTCCTTCATAGGTAAATCTATACGCTATAGAAACCAAATTTTGTCATTTTTCACACAAAAGTCAGGGTCCATTTGACCGGCTAAATATTGACCGAACTTTATCAAAACAGGCATGCATATTCTTTGGCCCTATCCTCTACTCCATATAAAATATCGATGATCGGGACATAATTTCGGTCTCTGAAGCGATCAGAAAAAATGACAAAAATTAAGTATTTAGTCCATTTCATCCCCTAAATATTAACTGATCTTTACCAAAAACAATAGGGGTCTTCATTGACCAGAACCCATCCTACATGCAAAATTTCGTGAAAATTGGTCTATAACTGTGGCCTGTATCGTGTTTACAAATTATAATGGACAGACGGACGGACACACATGTCTTGATCGACGCAGCTAGTCGAGATACGACGATCGGTATACTTAAAGATGGGTCTAGGACCAATATTTCGCGGCGTTACAAACTTTTGGGGCTGCACAAAGCCATAATACCACGACAACATAGTTGTGTAGGGTATAAAAACTTCGCTTTGCTAATCCTTTAAAAAAATATTTTTAAAAAATCTACGCCGTGATAGTTCTTCGGATTTTTTTTTTAAATACGCCTTGCTAGTCCCTCGAAACAATAATTTTATTAAAAAAATCTGCACTTCATATATTCTTCATTCTCAAACCGTCCTCAGCAATTTGCTCTTTCTAATCGTATTCAATGTATAAATAATGAAATTCTATCCTCAAAATTGTTAATAGTATAAGTCACATTGTATTTTTCAAAAATTTTAAATTCAAAACAAATACAAAATTTTGTTTAAAAAGACAATCGTCTTCATTTACTTCATTACCATCAACATTTGCATTCATTTCACTGGCCAAAAAATTAAATAAATAAATAAATAAATGCGCTGCGGTAATTCAAAACTTAATAAACAAAAGATAAAACAGCGACCGGCCAACTCGTCGACCGCCATCAGTGTCAATGATAACTCGCAAACAGAGAGAATACAACAGAATGACGGCCCCACCATTCACAAGATGCGAAAACAAAGCAGGCATTGAGGCGTAGCTTCTTAAAGATCATAAATTGAAATACAAATATGATGAAGATGAAATATAAATACACACCCAAAGATGACTTTAAAAAAATGCCGCAACAGTGCATAAATTTCCATTCCCACCCAAAAAAAAAAAAAAAAAGGAAAAAAAACTGAAAAAAATATTCAAGTAAAAAAATATATATTTTTGAAATAAATATTTAAAAAATTGGCAGTTTTGTTTAAAAAAATAGTACCATAATTAAAAAATCCAAAAAATTCCATTTCTCATATTCCCTTATCCGTACTGTAAGCTTAGGTACTCTCTTTTTATACCCTCCACCATAGTATGGAGGGTATATTAGTTTTGTTTTTCCGTTTGTAACGCATCGAAATAATCATTTCCGACCCTATAAAGTATATATATTCTTGATCAGCGTAAAATTCTATGACGATCTAGGCATGTCCGTCTGTCCGTCTGTCCGTCTGTCTGTCTGTCTGTCTGTCTGTTGTAATCACTCTAGCGTCTAAACGAATTGAGATAGAGCCCCAAAATTTTGCATAGAGTCGTCTTTTGTCTGCAGGCAGGTCAAGTTCGATGATGGGCTATATCGGTCCACGTTTAGGCATAGCTCCCATATAAGGGTACCTCCCATTTTTCGGTATTTTGAAGTTCTTAAGCGTGTTTTTCAACCGAATTCGCTGAAATTTGGTACATTGGGTTCTTATTGGGTACTAAATGCCTCCACAAAAAATTATTAGTGTAGGTCCACTTTTTCTGGTAGCCCCCATATAACGGTACCTCCTAATTTTCGGTATTTTGAGGTTCTTGAGCGCGTTTTTCAACCGAATTCGCTGAAATTTGGTACATTGGGTTCTTATTGGGTACCA